CCTTTCAGACACCTCTACAGCACCCAAGCCTCTAAGTGTGTTCACATGGAGGAAATATCAGGTGACAAGTATGACAAATTCTTTACTTTGGCAATGGGGCTCTCCAAATATTAAAAAAGAAAAATGCAACTGGATTTAAAATGGAAGTCAGGGACCTCCAGCCCTGACAGATACTTCTGGAGAGATTAATACTTCAAGCACCTTGATTTTTAATTGCTAATGCACTTTCTCTTGAGGACCTTCTGCTAAACTCCTATGCAGAGCCTCTTTTACTTATATAGACATGGAAAAACACTGCCTGCATTATGAAATCTCCTTGGTTTTGGTTATTTTTTTGGGGAGGTGTTGTCCTGAACCCTTGTTTTTGTGGTGCATGCAGGTATTTCAGAAGTTATCACAACCCAAAGGCGAGGGCATTGACTTAAAATGATGACCCAGAAGATGCAGCAACTCATGTGACACAAGCCATAAAATGAATATTTTTTTTTTTTATTGTCTGAATTAAGTTGCAGGGACTGTTAAGTTAAACTTAAAGTAACCCTTTTAAAAGTTGTTGAGGATAATGAATTAGGCAGGAGGAGTTAAGAGCCTGCTGCTGCCAACCAAAGTGCTTGGGGACTTGAGATAGAAGTGAATGATAAGAAGCAGCTTTCATGCATTCAAATAAATTACATGTTGGGCTTGGCTTAATCCTGGCATCAGAAAGATCTCTGGGGTTTTCCCTATGTTTGTCCCTACATTATCTTAGTCTAGGATTATGCAAATATCCTTTTAATGTAGCGACTCCTGAACAGGAAATTAGTCTCATACTTGCTCATAGGCTCTTGCAACCAACAGACATTTGCTTGCAAAATCTCACTCTGTCTGAGGTACAAAAAGGCACATATTAACCCTTTCAGCACCCAAATTTTGCAAACATGCAAACGACAGGACGTGCTCGGATATGTCAGGGAGGCAGCAGATGAATGGGGAGAGAGAGAAGTTTCCTAAGACAAAAAAAAAAATCTTCTTGGGTTTGAAAGTTCAACCCAAAGGCAAATCACTGAATGTGCAGCAATCTCCTCAGTCCAGGGAGTCTGCCATCATCTAGAAAGAAAAATATCTGGTAGCCCTTGGGAGGGGTGGAAAAAGTCACACAAATTGTGTTGTTCTGGTAGCAGGAAAGCTCAGTTATGGATTTTTTGGTTTTGTAAATCTTTGCTAGGTGAAATTCTCCTAGGTAACCTTTATCTTCAATTAAAAGTTTCTCCTATATGAGGTCATCCTTCTTTTAAAGAAAAAAAAAACCCTCCAGTTGAGCATTTTCTGTCAATCTGGGATATACTCAGGGTACCTTCCACCCCCCTTTCCTTTTTAACCCCCTGATTGAAACACAGACAGCTAAATCCTGAGTTACAGGGGAGCTTAATGAAATTAAGCATCTGGCTTTCCAGTGGGATTTAGGGTAGTACCTGATTCATTCAAGCTCTTTTGAAACTCCCATCAAAGTGAATTGTTCAAGGCATGACCTTAAGGTAACACTTGAATCAGCCACAAAATCTAGACTTCCAGCTCTGTGCTTTAAATGTAAGACCTATTCTTTCTTCTAGATCCAGTGTATTCTGTTTGTAATTACCAGAAATTACCATTAGAGAAATCGGAGCTAATCTAGAGCTCATTAAAGAGCAAGAATTTATGCTTAACTACTTAAATAAATTCTTGTTGATCTGGTTTCTGGAGATTAAACTCTTGTCATTTTTTTTTCTGTCAGAGATGGGAGAAACTTGCTTAGTATCATAGCACAGCATCTTGGAGTAAAAAAACTCCAACACACCTAAGTACAGAGAGGGTGGGTGTTTGCAAATGCTGTTCTAGCAGATGCCAGATCAAATCTGAAGACTTAGAGAGGAAAAAAATACTATTTGGAATTAATTTTGTTTTCAACAGATGAAAATTATAAGAGATTTTCACCTTGGGAAGACTTTTGCAGGATTGTGCACTCTCCACACTGAACAACTCACACAAATTTGGCAGAAATGGGTCCCTGTGCTAATTTGGTCACCCAAAAAAATAGTGAGATTTTATTTACCATCTGATTTCTGTAGTGAATCCTTGGGTAGTTATATATTTATGTTTATATTTTATATATATTTATGTTCTTTGATACAGAACTGAGCTACCTAAAGTGTTCAATTTTATTTTTATTTTTTTTTTCCAATTTGCCATCTTCTATGAAACGGCCAAAAAATGATGACAGGCCCATTTGGCCAAAAGTGTGGTAAAAAAAGAATTCAGAGGAAGGCTGCTGGTTTATTTGTCTTGTTCTGCTCATCAGTGGGCTTTCCTAGATGTCCATTTTTAAATGACTATTTCAGAGTTAAAGGAATTATGATGCCAGTTGTTCAGGCACTGAGGCATTCACTAGAGGACCTATTTTGGCATCACAACTCTAAGTTAGAGCTCTCTCTCTTACTCTTTCAAGATGCTGTATTCTGCAGTTTTATTTCCTTCTTGGAAAGCAAGAAGGATGTTTGCTAGGAAATGATTTTTATTGGGAAATACTGGGACTTAATTAGTTTTTTGGATGACCCACTTGAAATGGGAATTATGTCATTTTTATGGAAGCCTATCTGGTGATATTAAACCTTGATAATCAGCTGTGATGGAGACCCAAGTCTTTGCTGCAAATGTATAAAAATATCTAGCTGGTTTATTAGCTTCCAATTCACATAAAAAGAATGATCTAGACTTAAAAATTCAGGGAGTTTAGAAGCTTCAACCACATGGGAAAAATGCATATTTTTATTCTAGGAAATTGTAGCTGAACTCTCAGAGCTTTCAGAACACTTGGAGAAACAGTGATCCTTTCACAAGTTTAGAAAGCTGTGAAGTAATTGATTCCTTTGTTGAGAGTTCACACACCAACAGATGTGAGAAGAGCCTATTTAATGCATTTCCCTGGCACTGAATGGGACTCTGAGCACCCTGGAATCCTACAGGAAAGATCTCAGCTCCTACTATAGAAATTTCATATTTCACACAGCTTTTAGAAAGGCTAAAGTGGCAAATTGTAACTGGAGGAGGAAGTGAATCTTGGCAATTAACCCCAGAGGCACAAAATACCTTTCCCTGTGAATGTTCTGTGGTAGTTTGTCATTATACATGCAGAAAAAAACCCCCACCATGAGGTATAAAATCATATTTATCCTTACAAAACACCAGTATTATGGAATGATACAATTATGCCCTGTTCTGATAGCATCATCAGAAAGCCACAGGGATTTTTCTTTCTTTTGCAGAAATCTAGCAGTTTAAATAAAGAATGAAGGGTCACTATCAATAGATGGCAACTAAATTTCAAGACTGAGTGGACTGTCATGTCAAGTATTTCCATCAGCATGCCCAAAGGGAAGAAAAGCCAAGGGAAATACAATCTGCTTTCCCTTCTTGTCCTTGAAAACACTTAGGAGATGCCTTTTGTGCTTAGATGAGGAGAAGAGTGTGCAGCTTTGTCCAAAGTCACTCTCTGATCTAAAAAATAATGTCCCCATGTAACAGTTTTTGTGCAGTTGCACAATGTGTTTACAGGTAACTAGAGACCAGTAGCGGGAAGAAAAGCCAAGGGAAATACAATCTGCTTTCCCTTCTTGTCCTTGAAAACACTTAGGAGATGCCTTTTGTGCTTAGATGAGGAGAAGAGTGTGCAGCTTTGTCCAAAGTCACTCTCTGATCTAAAAAATAATGTCCCCATGTAACAGTTTTTGTGCAGTTGCACAATGTGATTACAGGTAACTAGAGACCAGTAGCATGTGTTGTGCTAAAACCAATAGTCTGGTACACTTAAAAAAAGTCAATGCTCATTAATAGGTAAAAAATACAAGAAACTTCTTCCTGACTTCTTGGTTTAGCATGATGCATCCCACAGATTTCAGTCCTTTCTGAACTCTTCAGAACAGCAAAAGCAAATGGCTGTCTTCAAGTAGCTAAGTCTGATTCCATCAGGCTTCATCCATCTCTTTTGCCCCAGCTTTGGTTCACTTTGGCCCCACCTCTGAGCTGACTCAATGTTTAACCTGTGGCCTATTAGGGAACAATATTATTAATTTTCTTTCCCCCACTCCTGCAGTAGTTTTGTCTTAAGTTTGAAGAACTAATTCACCTCACAGAAGCTCAAGAAAGTGCTAGAGATGATGCAAGGGGAAGTGGTGGGAATGCATGTCCCCTAGCAGAAAATAAGGTCAACTGGTGCCTACCCTGTCTCAGTTTACCCTTGGGACTAGAGTCTCAATAATCAATCAAAAAATTGGTCAATCAAGGCTTAGCCTGATGCCCCTGAGAGGCCATTCCAGAAGGTTTTGAAAGAAGACACTATGATACATAAATATGTGAGGATATCTTAACGAGCAGTTTTATTAAACCCACCTTAGCCTGGCTAATCACAGGTCATAAAAAGCTGTTTTAAACTTGTAATAAACAAAATCTTCTTGTGAAGAGATAAAAACCAGACAAGACACAGAGCAGTCTTTCAGTAACAAATGTACACTATAAAATTATGTGTTTCCTGCTCATTAGAATGACAAGAGAGTTTAAAAAAATAGATATATGCTACAGGCTTAGCTTAAAAAAGCCCAAATATATTAACATGCTATGAATGAATCAACAGTTCAAGCAATGCTTTCAACTTGATACCTAACTTCTAATTAAGGGCTTGTCCTTTTTTCCCCTAAGAATAAAAGCTGCTAGAAATTGAGTCCCAGAACAAGTTGAATGATGTAGCAACAAATGCAGGTTGTTGAACTATGAATTTTTAAAGCATCCAGCATCACATAATTTCTCCATAGCTTTTTCCAAATCTTTTTTTTGCATCTGATTTTCATTCCTCCTACTGTATAATTCAACAAGATTTGTTAATAGCAATGGTTGGTCAGGTTTTTTTTGGTTTGTTTCAACTTTCCTTTTCTTCTTGGCTATGTCCAAGGATCAAAACTGAGTGCTACCATCCACCAATGAGCTGAGTGTAACAGCACCACCTTCTGGATTCAGCAGTGTGAGGTGGGAGCTGGAACTTCCATCATCATCACATGACAAACCTGTGCAGGAGGAACAGGATAAAAGGGAAAATAATCTAAAACTAGGTATTTAGTCGTGAGAAATAGGCACAGGAATATTAATGGCACTGTATTAGCTCAACCTATCCAACTTCAGGGGCTGAGGAGCAGTTTTAGGATGGTTCTTGTGGACCATGAGGTAGGTGGTCAGTGTCTCTTCACCACTGTACATGGTGGAATCACTCCAAATACCTGATCTCAGAGGGACTCACTTGACAGCAAGTCTCCTGTCCCACTGCTTCCTCCTCTAGTGTGGGCACCAAGGCTACTGATCCAAGTCCCAGTCTGTTTTGGGCTCATGCTGTCTGAGCAGCCCTTTTTCATTCCTTTTGATGCAAACCTGGTGGGTGGAGGATTTTATCTGATGGGCTAAGTCTGTGCAACAAGTTAGCCTGTCCTGTTTAATTAGACCACCACTTTGGCCCAGCAACCTCTTCAGAGTCTCAGTACCCTGGATCTCTAAACTTGCTTAGATTTTTCAGGAAGAAAACACTGCACTACCACTGTGTTTTGCCATGCTGAGTTGTATATTGCTTATGTGAATTTGTTTCAGGGATCCCTCACATGAAATCCTGCTGGATCATATTATCTGTGTGCTTTCACTTGAAATCCTCACATGAAATCCTGCTGGATCATATCTATGTGCTTTCACTTGAAAATATCTGTTATGAAAACTTTCAAAACATTGATCATTGTTACATTAGAAAACAGAAACTCATGGTAATTTGCTGTAAGAGGTGAACAGGGCCATTAATCAATGTAACTTAATCAAATTGCAACCAGCTATTTCTGCTGAAATTTCAAAAAACTCAGCCCACCACAAAAGTAAACTAGAGAGAGAGATTGAAATCCAACCTGATCCTGCAAGCTGAGGAGCAGCAGTGGGTGTTCAGGCACCCCTGGAAAGATTAGCTTAGTAGACTGGGGTCTTTTTTCTCCACTGACTTCTGGTAAAGCTTGACACAATTTAGTTTTAAAATGTAATTGCACTCCATGCTGTACATAGGTGTGAAAATATGCACAGGACATGCTTTAATAATACACATTTTTCTTGCACTGTGTGGTAAAGGAGCATTATTTCAGACACAGATACAGTTGCATTGGTAATGGAGTATGATGTGAAGTTTCCTGAGTGGGAAAGCAGACTGAAGGGATGGTGTCATCTGTAGTCTTTCCCTCCAAACAGATCATCTCTACAGATAAATTCACACCTGAAGAGAAATGTTGGCATTTACACGATCCCATTTTCTTCTGCTGGATGTTTTGCAGGATCTAGCCCATGCTGCTTCATCTGCACTGCAATATCAAACAAGTAGTCATAACACTCACACCTAAAATGAAAAGGAAAACAAAGTGCAAGGTAAGGCAAGGCTCACATTTTGCCATGTTTTGTGAAAATTAAGTTTTCTTCCTCAAGCTTTACATCAGCAATGTGACAGCCTGACAGCTCTATGATCATTTATTTCCACTACTGCAGCATTTTTGCTACGTGTCCTGATGTGCTGCATTTTCTCACCAGCAAATGAACAAAATTCCCAAAATGGGAACCACACAAACAGTATTGGCAGAGGCCATATAAAAGCAGAGGTTTCCTGTAGGTTTTCTATCAGGAAGGACTTGTCCATGTGAAAGGAAACTGCTGGCTAAGCAATCAGCCAGCACTGATATGAAAGCCAAACCAAGCAGTGCAGTGATGGATGAACCCATTCCCAAAACCTCTCCATGCCTTCAGTAAGGCCAGAACTTAATGTTCTGAAGGGTTGTCCACGGGTTGCAAACACACAGCCCATTAAGGTCATTAGGTTTGGAGGTATGATGGGGAAAGAAACCAGGTTGCTAAGTTCTACTCACATAGTTTTGGCCTTTTCCCATGTTTCTCCCCACACATAGACCCCGTGACGTCTGACCAGCACAGCACAGGAGTCTGGGTACATCTCCATGGCACGTGCCATCCTTTCCTTGAGATCCTTCTCTTCTGGTGTGTTCTCAATAATGGGAACCACCAGGGTATCATCGTATCTGAAAGGAAAATGAGTGTCTTTGAACACAACAGTGTAGTGGATGTGTGAAGGTTTTCCCTAAGAGGCTGTGTAAAGAGGTTACCAAATTCTCAGCACTTGTGATTTTACACTCTCCTCTTGTGAGTCATGCTGTAAGGTAAGAGCTCTCAGGAACACCTCCCACCCCAGTGTGTGCTATGCTGGCAGTAACTGAGCTACACTTGAGGCACAAAAAGCAAATAACACTTTCATGTATGAGCTGTAGCTGTTTGTTCACAGATCACTTTGTTGTTGGGTCCCTGTACAGCTTTTTTTTCAGTCTCTCCTCATCCTGTATTGGCATCACCCACAAGCTTTATCTCAGATGAAATTATTTCAAAGAATCACATCACAAAGAAGGAAGTGAAGCTGTTTGCTGGAGAGCAGGTAGTCCAAAAAGCCCCTGGAAATAAGATTGTCCTGCTAAGGCATATAAGTAGAAAGTGCAGTCAACACATGAAAAATAAATGCTCTGTGATGGAGTCATTGGTGGGCTATATGTGATCTGAAAAAAGCCTGAGAGCCCCAGTTCCAAAGACAAGATGATGCATGTTGTTCACTGGAACTTGCCTAAGAGTTTCTTCTGAAGGAGGACTGGGATATTTGGCATTGTCTGAACGTTAATTAACACTGGCAGAAACTTGTTTAAATAGATTTAATAAGTCCCCAGTTCAGGTTCAGATTTATCATTGAGATCACACAGATATGTCATGAGTGGATGCTAGTAGTACTTTCATAAAACAAAGGGAGAAAGCAACAGTGAAAATTATACAGCTTGGACTTCAAACAAGATATTCAGAAAATTAAAGAGCTTCCTCCCTTACAGTTTTCAGTGCTGAAGCTTATTCACCAAAGAAGTCTAGAAAAATAGCAAATGAGGGAAAACTAAGTGTTTTTTGCAAGTTTACTTTGACTCTTACATATTCTGATCATTAGATTGGGGGAGTTTGCTGCTAGTGAGGCCAAAGGAGATAAGGGACTGGTTTCCTAGGTTCTGCCTTCTCCTTGGATGGGAGTTTGGAAGCAGGTCCACAATTGATTCCTAATCACAATGATAAGCTTTTTAGCAAGAAATAATAACTAGAAAACTCCAAGAAGACTTTGAGTTAAATACTTGATAGCTCTTTAGTTTTATTGAAATATAAGCAGCCTACATTTAGCCAAAAATTCATACAAAATATCTTGGCACAGTCTTAAACTGTCAAAGCTATTTACTAGAGATCTAGTTCTCCTTCTGCTGAAGTCAAAGAGAAAACTATTCTGGCATCACTGGGATCATATTTAGGCCAACAAATACTTCTTCTTATCCCATCTGCAGCATTTTCCTGGATAGCTGCCAGAAAAGTTTTATGTAATTAGAAACAATATATGGTCAATCCCTTTTGTGAAAAATTCCTTTCTGTACTATTGAATTTCTTCTGAATTCAGTGGGAAGCCTTGTGGGAGGCAAGACAGTGGAATCAGTCTAGTATGGAGAAATATCTACTTATGAACCATGTGGAACAAATACAAATGCTCATGCTGACAAGAAGGTAAAGCTGGTATGTCAACCAAAAGTGAAGAAAATAAGCCTGGGTGTAAAATCACATGCCAGACACATGGTTTCCCCCTTTGCCAAAGAGCAAGAGTTAGTTACAAAAAACAACCTTGAAAAGTGGAAAGAATTTAGCATTTCCATTTTTCATCTAATTGTCACATATTACATAAATGTTGTTTGCAGCTCCCAGTTCCACATTCTGTGGGTGGAGGCCTCCAAACAAGCCATCACACATAATTTGGAATTACTCAGCACTTACCTCAGAGATCATCCTTGAAAAGTAATAACACTATCTTTCATGAGCTGTTTATTCTCAATTTGCTTTTCAAAGTCTGTCAAGTAAAATCCCCAATCCTCTACTCTCTTAACATGCCCCAAACTAGCACAGGCAGCGACAGGTGAAATCTCCCCAAATGTAGTTTGTACACTATCAATCCAACCTCATGTTGTTTGGCTCCAGTTTCAGTTTAACCTTGTAAAGATGTGTAATATTTCTCTTCTTGAGATATTTGTTAGGACATAGCTCTTTATTTGATTTGTTTCTGTAGCTCAACAGACCACAGCAGCTTTGACATTGCAAGATTTTGTCTCACATCTCTTCCACAGGCTTGAGATCTTCTTATGGAAAGCAAATGACTGATTTATTCCAAAGGTATTTTTACTTCTTATTCCTAATACTTTATATTACACATTTTAATGCACATAGTGCAAACTGCTTGTCATCTGTTGATACTGCTGAAAACAAATGGTCAGATAGTGTGCCTCTCTATAGAGAAGTACCTGTAGTAGCCTCCTGAAGTGCACTTCTGGATTCCTTTTATCATCTCCTGATGGGTAATTCTGAACTCACTCCCTGGGTAAAGAAGGGTGGCCATCACAGCAGCCTTGGAATGAGTATGGATCACTGCACCTGCCCCTGAGAGCAGCAAAAGGAAAACAAATAATTTAGAATTCATTTTAAAATGTGTCTCTTAAGAAAATTTCATTCAGATAGATGATTAATTTCCTTTGGCTGGGCACCTTAGCAAATGGTGACATGCTGTATTAGAGGGAAGAATCTACAGCAACCTAAAGAAAGGTATGAGATAATTACTCATCTATAAAGGGTAATTATGGACTCTCTTAGGACACTAGTGTTAACTTTCAGTTAGTGACAAGTACCAGGAGAGAAACTACTGGCATGATTTCAAGGAGAAACACCACTTGCACATTTCTTTATATGGTGACTGAAACATTCTATTCATTTCATGAGAATGCTGAGATTCTAAAGAATTTCCAAACTTCTTTGTGAGATGAAAGTTTAAAGACTTTTACTTTCTTTTTATCTTCTTTGATTAGCCACCAATTCTCTGAAAAAAATATTTACTGTTAACTTAGTGTCATGATGGAAAGATAGGCAGTAATTATCATTTACTTATTATGTTACAATGTTGCCAAAAATAGTTTTCCACAGGTCCACACGTCAGCTTCTAGTGCAGGAAGATCAGAAGAGACTCCCTAAACCCTTCCTAAATTTCATGTGTAGCTGACTCCAACTCCCAGGTATAAAGAACATGGTTTTGAACATCAGCTTTGTGCATGGGCACGTGGCAGTCATGGCTGAACTAAAACCATTTGCTACTCACCTCTCATGGTGTAGGCATTCATGAAAAGAGGTGTGCACTGGCTTTTCTTCAGCTTCTTGTGAGGTGGAGGACCCCTGATGTCCTGCTCATTCATGTCACAAACAAACATATCTTCTGGCTGTAAGAAAGAAGGAATTATTTTGAGCTGTGATGAGCCAGGTAGTTTTGTTTTCCTTCTAGGGAGACTATAACTACAAACATCATATATTTAATACAGAATGTGATTTTAACTCTGTAAAAATGCCCCACATTTATTCTAGCTTCTAATTCTATTGACATTGTGTAATGTGAATTAATATCAGGTATTCTTTTTAGGCAGACTACTGCCAAGTAGATACTTGTAAAACTAATATTTTCTCAGCAAGAAAAGATCCTGTATCCAAATAATCACAAGGAAAAGTAGCAACTGATTGAAAAAAAAGAAATGTAGATGTCCTTTTCCTTCTCCCCTTAAAGAATCAACAAAGGACATGAATTAAACCTCCATATAATATATTTAGCTTGTAGAAATATTTTTTTAAAAATTTGCTTTTAGTAGCTTTATGTGATTGTTATCTTTGCATCACTCAGCTGCTCATAGCAGCACAAAGACTTGTTCAGGGCAGCAATAACACTTTTTTTCTTTAATGTTATTTTAAAAATCAGCAGGGAATATAGTGGCAAGAGATTTCCTTACTCACTGCACTCAATCCACTGGTGTTGCTAGAAAAGCACAGACCACCATGGTCTTGCCTGCCTCTGCCTGCCCCAGGGAGCACTGCTGCAAACCTCCAGGTTTCTATCAGTGAGGGGATTCCTTTCACTTCTCATTGTATTCACCCTCTGATCTACAAAACAACAAATCATGGGCACATATTATTCTACTCCTGCTGGCATAAAATATTTATTGTTTACCATCACTAAAATTTTGGGCAAGGAAACACAGTCAATAGTTCAATGTACCTGTATTCTTTCCTTTTGGACTCCTGAAGGAGCAATGTAGATTTCATTCCTAAAAAAAAAGTTATAAACAGGGAAAATTGATCAACACAGGGTTTGTTCAACTGCAAGGGCACCAGAGCTCTCCCCTGAAAGAGCAAATCTAGCCCTTTATCATTTAATCACACTCTTCCTCCTTCCCCAGATGGACACACAGATGGTTTTCAGACTAGAAGTGAATCATAAAAGGACAGATGAAATCTCTAACCTGCAGGGGCACAAAACTGTGCTGTCAACTCCACCAGATATCTGAAGCTCATGTAAGGGAGTACAGCTGTATTTTTCCTACAGAGAAAAACACACAGCCTCCCCCTGCAATAATCCCAACCTCAAATCCCCAGAATTCAGAATAAAAAAAATAGAAAAAGAGAAATTGCAAGCAGATAATGATCTCTGACAGAAGAGGTGACAAAACTATTACTTAAAAATCTACATATTATGTATAAACTATTTATTATCTGTAGTATTCTACAATTCAAATCAAGGTGCACCACTTCTTGCAAGGTTTACAAGAGCAAAGACTATAAAAAAAAATTGGTTTATATGATAAATATTTTAGAAAAATCTACATATTATGTATAAACTATACTTATTATCTGTATTCTACAATTCAAATTGAGGTGCACCACTTCTGGCAAGGTTTACAAGAACAAAGGCTATCAAAAAATTGATTTATATGATAAATATTTTAAGATGGTATCTGAAATATTTTCAATAATAGAAAACAAATTGTATCACCTCTCTCAACTGTAAATCACTACGTGGTTTCAAGAGGAACATCCTAAATTCAGGAGCACAGAGACATCTAGTGAATAATCAATCAAGTTACAGACACATTTCCTAAGGCCCCTGAGATGTTTGTAGTTCTGCACAAGAGCACTTGGAAGAGCAATGAAGCTGATGAAGGGTCTAGATAACAAAAAAGCAGCTGAGGGAACTGAGGTTATTTATTTTCTGGAGAAATGGAGGCTCAGGGGAGACTTTAAGTTCCTCTGATAGTGGTGGTGTGGTGGGGGGTGGGTCTCTCCTCCCAAGTCACAAGTGGTAAGAGAAGAGGAAATGGCCTCAGGTTGCACCAGAAGAGGTTTAGATGGGTTATTAGGAAAAAGTTCTTCACTGAAAAGATTGTCAAACACTTGAAGAGGCTGCCCAGGGAAGGGCTGGAGTCACCATCCCTGGGGGCATTTAAAAGATGAGGTCTAGTGGTGAGCTTGGCAGTGTTGGGTTTATGATTGGACTCTATAATCTTAAGGGTCTTTTCAAACCTAAATGATGCTATGATGCTAACACCCCCAAAAATAGGGCTCTTAAAATGAGTGTGATCAAAATGTGGCTTTATCATAGTTGTAATTTTTAACATTAATCAATTAACACTGCCAACGTTGCACTAATTTAGTCTCAATTCCTTTGTGCTTTCAATCATCTTCCTCCTGCCATATACTGAAAAATCAAGTGGTAATTTGGTTACCAATGGAAGAAACCCATTTTTTCTTAAAATACTTTTTTTTTCTTTTTTAAATTAATCACATAGGGAAAATCAGAGAATTATTTTACAGCCTTTGAAAGACAGAACAGACAAAGAATTGTAATTAATTGCCATTAATTTTGCAACTGTAGGTACAGTCACACAGATTGCTATTCCTACACCAGGCACAACATTGGTACCAACCAAAATAAGTATTTTTGTGTAGTCTGGGCAAAACTGCTGAGGAAAACTGTGCTACTATGTTAGTGTGTTCTCTGTTGACACTCTGGCCACAACCAACATGAATCACACTGACATGACACAGAAAATAGGCTCTGTTTAGCTGCTGATGAGAAATTAATGCCAGAAAGATCTTTCCACAGATTAAGAACTGTAAAAATAAGAATTAACCCTCTTATCATTCCACTCAACGTTATTATTGCTGCTGCTTGGCTGGCAAAATGAAGCAGGGAAGGGAAACGACCTGCACAAAGACATTACAACAGCACAAATAATTTGGAGCCTTTATTTCATAGATATCTCCAGTGGCCACTGAGAGGAGCTCTGACTCCATGAAAAGCTTGGAAAGCAGGAACGGGGTGAGAAGAGCAAATTGGGAAGCTGAGGAGTGCTCCTTAGTAGTGGATATGCACCAAAAATTGGTTATCTATCCTGTTTTAATTATATTTTAAGAACATTTCCTTAGAAATTATCTCAGTAGAACAGTAATTTCCTTCTTCTTTCTTACTCTTGACTTTGAAAACTCTGTCATGGAAGTGAAATGCCCCCAGCAACCACTCAACACAGCCCACCCTCTGTCTCTCTCTGCCCCCCACATTCTTTTCCTGCCATCTTTACTTACCCATGTTTCAAGCTGATTCCTCCACCAGTTCCTGTGACCCACCCTAAACCATAAAACAGCCTACAAAGCTCTGGAATGAGATTTCTTGGATGTAGCTTCTCCTAAAAATAAAGAGAGCAATGAAAAACCATCCTAAACACTGCAAAGCTAAGAATTTCAAGTCTGAAATTGAGTTTCAAGGGGTAGTACTTTCATATTGCAGTTATGACTAATTTATGTTTATGAATTTCAGTTACAAAATGACTCTGTGTTTGCACAGGGGCCATTCACACTTTGAAATGAGCCAAAAAAACCCCAAATAAATGCATTTCTGATTACCCTTCACAGGAATGGTCTCATTATTTGAGTGCAGTGGCCCACAGGTATTACACCAGCAAGATTAAGTCATAAAAAAAAGAAAAATAAAGGCATCTAATTATCCATTTTGAAAAGCTCAATTAATTTTTCCCACTGAAGCAGATTTTTTAAGGTTATTTTGCTTGACTTATTTTCTGTAGAACAGACTTGATTAATTCTGTTATAGAAGATTTTTTACACAGCTTTAAAAAACTCACAGAAAATATAAGGAAATTATTTGCTGAACTTCCCATTCCTACATCTTTACAATGTGAGGTTAGACTACACTGGGAAATTGAAAAATTTGAGTTTTGGAATCACTCACATGAGAAATGTAAGCAGCATGCACAGAGAATACTGTGAGATGCTGCTTTAATTCATGCTATGTGCTTGAATTTATTCATTTAATGAAGAAAAATAATCATTTATCATTTCAAGTGATAGAAACAAGACTCTAACCAGCACACCTAGAAATTTATGTAAGAAGTCAGATTTTTACAGCACCAGGAACTTCATGAGCTCACATTATCTGACCCAAACAGAACAGCACATGTAAAATACATAAAGCAACAAGAAAACTCCTACATTTATAGTGAAAAAAACCCTGAAATCTTCCCCATTCACACTGTTGAAAATAAAACCACTTCTTTCCAGCTCTTTTCTACTGAAAATAGTAATATACATCAAGTATACAGTCTAAACATTCCTCATATCCTAATAACTCTGGAATGTGTTGTGCTTGTTTTGTATTTATAAACATACAATTAAAATTATGGGTCCCCCTTTTGTTGTGTTGATTTATTTCTACAGAATTAATGGCTGTAGATATTGTTCTTTTGGGGGAATAAGGTTATATTAAGCAAGTTCACATTGTTGTTATTTATTGAATGTACTCAGACATAAAAAGCCTGGACTGTAGCAGTCCTACAATTGTTTCTCATCTTCCACTTGATAAATTTAGACATTTACTGCAAAATTCACATTTATGGAGAATAATGAGTGCTTTGCACCACTCCACAGCAACAAAAAGAACTGTTAGAAGTTTAAATTCAGAAGCTACTTTCATCAAAATATCAAAATAAATATCTGGGAATTCTATTTTTCTGGGCATTCCAGGATTATCCATCAATCCCCAGAGCTTAACAATATTTTTCCAGGATCAGTGTGTACTGACTATAACCATAAATCTCATTTAGGAGTGCTTTTAAATTTGATCTTTAAGCTGAATTTCATCAATTCAGCTTTTTTTTGCTGCTATGCTAAAGTTTCTCCATGCTGCTAGGTCTGAAGGAAAATGCCACAAATTTCCAGGAACTAGAATAAGGGACTCAATTTTCAATCCACTAAATTATTCTTTTGAAAATGAATTGGCCAATAATTTTCCCAACAGAACCTGGCTGAAAGTGTCCACTGAAAATTTAGAGTATTTGCAGCAAATATTTGGAAAAAAAAATGAGTGTATTCTGCCTCACTGTGGTTGTTGAAGGAAAATTCTCTTTTCCCTGTTTTATTCACATCACTCTACCTAATATGATTTAAAAACCAAAAGAAACTCACCCTCCCAACCCAGAAAACAATGTGGCTCTAATAACAATGGAAATCAAGGTGGACCCAGGCTGCTTGTGGAACAAACACATTTGTAAAGGTTTTGGAGACAATTTTCAGCAGGTGTAAAACAACTACCATGCAGACAGTTAAAAATATAATAACTAGTGCCTGGAATATGCATCTTTCTTTCATTTATAGCTTAGAAATCTTATATTCTCAGAAATAAGAACAGACTGCCCAGATAAACTCATATCATTGATATTTCATATTGAGAAAAGCTTTAATATTTTAATAATTCTTTAATAAAGCATTTGATTAGCTGCTCTGCTGCTCAGCTCAGTCATTTACACCCACAAAAAGGATATTTCCAGGAGAAATGTGTGCTCAACCTGCAAGTTCCACACCTCCTAAGAGGGGGTATTCTGTTAATAATCACAGAATAAAGAAAGCAAAAGCCAAAAATAAATAGCATGTACTGAAACTGGTAGGCAAGGCAGTTACTGGGCAGCAAGACCTCTGTTGAAACATGAAGAAAAAAGAAAGCTTAGATAGAAACTAGTTCTTCCTAAAGAAAAAAATTCTGTTTTCACTGTTCTCTCCCCCCACCTCGATACCACAGTGACTCTAAAGTTGAAAATTGAGATCCTTGGTGGTCTAAAGCAAGACCTGAGCCAAGTAGAACTGGAATTTGGTGAGTCCCCTCCAGGTTGTCTTCTGGCCCTCAGAATCACAGCAAGCAGAGGCTTTTTTAACACCGTGGCCCCTCTGAACAGCCCATCCACTTGCATCCTGTTGCAGTTGCTGCAGGGGGCTGCACACCACAGGGAAATGCCACCAGACAGGGAAGGTGATGGAGATGGTAGCCTGGGGCAAGTCTGGCCAGGTTTGGAAGCTCCTGCTTTAACCCCACCTTTAAAAGGTCCAACCCCACTCCCAAACTCCTTAGGCAATCTGTTTAACTGTCTCAGGGTAGAAATGTTTTCCTTGTGCCCAACCTAAACCTTGTTTGCTGAAACTTAAGCTTGCTATCTCTTACCAAAAAATTATGGATATAAAAAAGACATTCTTCCTTTTCATCCCAATGACACTTTACATATTAAGGCAACTCCATTTCAACTCCATTTGCCCTTTTTTTTTTTTTTCCTCCTGACTATTCATATTCTTTCCTCCTCCCTGACAGGCCACATTATTTAGTCTGATGATTCTTATTCCCCTGTTTTGCTCCAGACATCCATTGATGCCAGTCTCTTGGCCAGTTCCACACACAAACAGGACAGGTATTTCAAGCCTCATCCAGGTGATGCTCCCCTACACTTATACCAAGATGTTTGCTTCATCCAGTGAAGCACAGTACCATTAACCCAGGGTTTTCTCCAGGCTGAACAAGCCCAGCTCTCTCAGCCTGTCCTCACAGCAGAGCTGCTCCAGCCCTCGGATCATTTCTATGACTCTCCTCTGGACACGTTCCAACAGCTCCACGTCCTTCTTGTGCTGGGGGCTCCAGAGCTGGACACAGACTCAGGTGAGGTCTCCCCAGGGCAGAGCAGAGGGGCAGGATCACCTCTCTCCATCTGCTGCCCACGCTGCTTCTGATGCAGCCCAGGATTCCATTGCCCTCCGGGCTGCCGCTGCACATTGGTGACTCATGTCCAGCTTTTCATCGACTAGTACCCTCAAGTCTTTTCCCAATGGACTCTTTAAATGGACTCTTCCCTACCGTGTCCTCTCCCAGCCTGCACTGCCAACGTTGGTTGCCCCTCCCCAGGTGCAGAACCCCGCCCTTGGCCTTATAGAACCTCATGAGGTTCACCTCAGCCACCTCTCCAGGTCCCTCTGGATGACCTCCCGTCCCTCGGGCCTGTCAGCTGCCCCACCCAGCTCCGTATCGCAGCCTGGCAAGCCCTGCGGATCCCTGAAGCCCCCACAGCCTCGGGGGCGGCTCGCTCGTTACCTGCGGAGGGTCGGGGCC